TTATAATTGCTTTTAATAAATTTTATTTTGACAGCTTTTTCAATTAAATAAAGATTGCTATTGAATAATTTATAAATAATTATCGAATTAAATGTATATTGATTGCTATCTAATTGAAAATTTATTGGTTACTATCGATATATATTAATTACTATCGAATTTTATCGATTACTAACCGGGTGGATATATATCGATGCTAATCACCTCTGCTATTTTCTATCAAATTGGATATATATTGATTGTAATCAAATTGGATATATATCAATTGCTATCGAATTGGATATATCAATTGTAATCGAATTAGATTTATATCGATTATAATCACAATCAATAGAAATCAGCAGGGTGATTAGCATCGATATATATCTACCCGGTTAGTAATCAATATATAACGGTCTATTTTTTTTGCCGATATATATAGAAGCAGCTCACATTCCAAAACCCTAATTTCTATATGTAAACCATATCATGTTACACTATAAGCTCTCTCTGGTTGAGTGGTGAATTACCAATTAAAGAAATTTATCTGTGCAAATCCAGTAATATCATTTTGGGCAATTTTCCATTTACTACAACTCGAACAAGATGATGTGTTGAATACCCAAATCGATTAAACTATAGTGCATATTCTCCTTGGCCTCACATACTTGCTAGATAGCATTTTTTTATATCAATACATACGACATCATTAATATGATAACTGGGTGCATTCTAGTATTCACCATACCCATGTTTGATACAAGCTTGTCTTATAATATCATTTATTTTTTCAGATATTGGACATCATTCATTGATTTCATTGGCAAGTCAGCTTCTAGCATAGTTTGTACCAAATACCTGTTCTACTAAGTCAACCACTTTGAGAGACTCTGAAAGAATTAATTTTTTTTTCTCATTGATTATTCCTTTCTAAAATTGCTAATCTATTGTATCATTAACTAATTGTTTGTATACTTCTATAATTTCTGTATGCTTTTTCCATATTCTAAATATACAATCATCTTCCAAAACAAATTGGAATATTCTTTGATTCTCATTTCCTACTCTGATAAGCCAGATAGCTTGAGGACTTTAAAGAGCATTATTAATAGCTTTCCAAGTATTACTCTTATAATATTCGACTATTCGGTCTCTTAAAAAATATTGGTTTCAAGAGAATACATAGCCATTATGAACTACTATCTCTATTTCTTCATATTTACCTGATCGATATTTTTTGCTATTAAAAATAGTGCTATGAGTAATATTAGGTAATGTAATTAGTTACTTGAGAATTTTTTCTAACTCTGCTACATCTTGTATTCGAGCATCTGAAATACGTATTTTTTTCTTCCAATCATTTATTTTTTGCTGACGAATTTCTGTAAATCTATATTCTCTTTTGGCTTGATCAAAATGCTCTATTACTCATTTAGCTATACAGTTAAGTGCTCCATCTTTCATAGGTATTAATCGATTAATATCTGGTTTTTAGATTTAATATAATCCATAGACTACTGCATTGCTATCAAATCTTTCTATTTCAGATTGCTTACTGATTTCTCTGACCAGAAATTTTTCATCTATTCTTACCCAAAATCCTGGTTCATTTTCTTTGTAAGTATAACATTTGGACCACCTCTGACATTTTTTACTTGCTTTTTTTGATTCACGAATAGGCTTATATTTATTAATAATTTTAAAAGTGATCTTTGTTTGAGATTCATCTTCATATACAGAATTATTTCGAATAAATTTTACTCTTATTAAGAACTCGCCATTATCAATCACATTTAAAATTTCTTGGGCTCGCTCTTTAGTCATTCCAGCTTTGTAATTTTTGAATTCTATTTCTGCAAATCAGATTGAGAAAGCATATTCAGCCCTATCTACTTTAAACATATCTTTTGCATACTGAATATCATTTTGCTATACTTCATAATACTTTTTATTTTCTGAAAATAGAACTGGCCAAGGCACTTCTATATCCAAATCTAGAAAATGATAAACTTGAAGTTCTGGAATATTAAATTTATTATTTTTTGATTCCATTAAATTAAACTATTCTTTTTTTGTTTTGGGTATAGATCTTAACTTAATTTTTTATTACTTTTTATTTCCGGTTTTGTTAACCATTTTATTAGCTCATTTATCATTAAAAATTGATTTTTTTTTTGCTCTATATTAGCATTAGAACTTGATTCAACTTTTATATCTAGAATATCACACGTTAGAAGGTCAACTACTAGTATATTTAATGTATTTGGATAGTATATTAGTATATTTTCATCAAACAAAATTAGATCGCCTATAGGAGTCAGGTTTTTAGATAATAGTATATTTTGTATTGAAGTTAGAACTGGTAATAGATTTAGTCTTGCTTCAGAATCTGGTCTTATTTCAGGATTTGAGACTTGCACTAGTATTTGATTAGATAAAATTTGTTAATATGAATATTTTCTATTTAAATGTATATATAATTTAACTAATTTAGAAAATTCTTTTTCACATCTATTACAAATATGATTAACTATTGAAATATTATAATATTGTAATTACTATAAAATACTTATAAAATTTTTTTTATTTAATTAATAATTTAATATATCTCTATCTATATTTATAATATTCAAAGCTAGATTACAGATACAATATAGATGATATAGATATTTAGTTTTCTATTACATATATTTTTTTTTTCTAAAAAAGAGTACTATCAGAAGTTATGTTCTAAGGCTCTAATGAATAATAAATAGATTATCAAATTTACCTTTTACCTCAACACTCAGAAAAAAGATACTATAGGCTATCTATAAAAAAAAAGTATACATCAAATAAGTTTTTAATTGGATATATAACTGTATTAAATTTGATTGATAAATTTTGTTACTCTATCTATAACATGCAAAAAATTTTATTATTTGGGTACCAAAAAATGCTATAGAATATGTTGGGATCATCATTTTTTTATATCTATAGTATCTAAATTTTTGTTATAAATTTTTGCTATCAAATTCAACTTCTTAAAAAGAATTCAAAGATAGCTAAATAGAACATTATAACCTTAATCAGATATTTTCTTACAGACTGATCAGAAATATTAAATTGGTATACAACAATTTATATAAGTAGTTTAATTATGTAACCAAATTTTGAAATCGGCCTACTTTTAAGTAACGTGAAAAATTTTGGTACCTTTTCCTCTTTAGTATATAAAAAGAGAAGTATTATCTTATTTGTTAACTACATATATCTGGTTTCAAGTATTATGAGGTGAGATAACTAACAATATCAATGTATCAGAATTGTCATTTTTTATATCTATGGTATCTGTTCAAACCTTCTAGATAGGCATAGATGCTCCACTTTGTTTCATATCAGACCTTCTAGGTAGATCTAGTTTATAGTTAATCAAATACTTTGATAACAAATTTTTGATACTAATATGATTGCTATGTGTCAAAAAACCTCATATTTGATGAAGCAAACGCAAAATGTTCAACACTTAAATAATGAAGCAATATAAATTTTAGTATCCAAAAAATTTTGGTACATTAGGTACAAAAAAAAGTCTGCCTGCTCTTCTTGCTACTAGAATGATTACAAGTCTTTTAGAAAAACTATTTAGAAAGATTTAAATTAACAAACTTCTTGTAGATAAAGAAATTTAAAAAGAACTTATTATTGATCTAAAAAAGGTTCTTATAAAAACAAGAGTGCATTTTTAAAAGCAGTTTAGACCTCACAAATTTAATCAAGAGCTTTGAAAAAACAACTAAAAAGAGATATACAAACTAATAAAAGAAATACAAAAAGATTGGTATAGCAATTTCATCCAAGATATCTTAAAAGGAGAGTAGTTAAATATATTAAAAAAAACTAAAGAAAAATATAATTCCAGAAATATTAGGTATTATCTATGTGCTAATCAAAGCAACAAGTCCACAAGCACAAAAAGAATTCTATCTGTTTGCAAAAAGCTGTATTTACTCGAGCAAAGTACTAATAAAATAGAAAGTTTTACAATCTATTCTATTCCAAAAGACTCAGACTAGTATCATATATTTCTGAAAATAAGCTACCTTCAAAAGAAGCTACCTTTTTTTTTCTTGGAGAGAAAATATAAAAAACAACTTGGTTCCAAAAATAAGCTACTTCTATAATCGATAATTGTTGCTATATAGTAAAGTCAAAATTTTACTAAGTAAATTGACCTATCTTATTAAGTAAAAGTTGTTTAGAGGATCAAAATATATATATTATGAATGTTTTATACAAATCGGATAACTTTTTATTAATACATTTTTGCATATTACATTTGATGAATATTTTAAAATTTCTTTGAAATTCATATTCGTTGAACGTAATAATCAAAAATCAATTAATAAAAAGCTATCTGATTTACTTAAAATTTTCAAAATATGTGTATTTTGTTTTTATGAACAAATTTTACTTAATGCATATTATCGATTTATTTAATAAAATTTTTTGGAATTCAACAAAAATCAATTATATTTGAAAATAAGCTACTATTGATTTTTTTTTGTGTTCAAAATTGTCCAAAAA